GAAACCCACCTCTGTCACCACCTGCTGTAGCACACCCTGCTGCCAGCCCAGCTGCTGTGTGTCCAGCTGCTGCCAGCCCTGCTGCCGTCCCTCTTGCTGTGGCACCTCCTGCTGCCAGCCCAGCAGCTGTGCACCTGTCTACTGCACCAGGACCTGCTACCAGCCCACCTGCGTCTGCCTGCCTGGTTGTCTGAACCTGGGCTGTGGATCCAGCTGCTGCCAGCCTTCCTGCTGCTGATCAACACTCTTGCTGAAGGCAACATTCCACTGTGGCATCACCCAACCCAGGTTCTACAACAAAATCACACTCCAAGCTTTGCCATCATCAAACTATGTTTGGATCATCTTGTTATAAAGGGTCTCAAGTGTCTGCCTGATGGAGGGCAGCATGTTTTATCCACTTCTCTCCTCTTTATCTGTTGAGCACTAGCTCCAAATCTTGGTCTACTTCATCTGTTCTTCATCTTCACTAATGTTTTCACATGTGGAATTCCTAATCCTATCACTCTAAGCCGCCCCCAAACTCAGCAGACAAAAACCTATGACTTCTTAACTCTTCCCAATGATAAGTGAATTTTTTTCTCCATGTATTCCTTATTCTCGTACCCTACCCTTTTCCCCTTTATAACCGTTTTAAATTGTTTTCCGTGTTTTGAAAAGTCTCCCCTGTTTATTTCCTAATAAATCTGTATTCCCTTAAATCTTTCCTTGCATTTGTATTTATTTCTGCAACATTTCCTTTGTAAGAGCTCATGTTCACTGCATATCACTCTCATCCTTCCTTCATCACCTTGGGATAGCCTCACAGGATGGCCAGAGTCAAGAGTGTCTTTGACAACCTACACGTGAGGAAAGTTCCTTGCTCAATGTGAATTGTCCCAGGGCCTGCTCACTCTTACTATATGTCACAGGTACTTTGATTGAGATCCTACTGCAAGTGAATAGCTGAGCACTGGGGAGATGGGCACTTTTCCTTGCTCCTGGCTTCTCTAGCAGGGGAAATCTTCACATTTACATATTTGGGCACTTTTCTGTGCACAAGTGCAGGAGTGTGAAGTACAAGAAAATGCAGAAGCCGTAATAGTTCTGAGGGACAGTGAAAGAGAACTGGCAGGGATA